CCTCACAATAAAGAATTTCTTCCTTGTGTCTAATGTAAACATACTCTTTTTCCATTTAAAACCATCCCTCCTTTTCTTGTCAGTACATGCTCTTGTCAAAAGTCCCTCTTCAACTTTCATGTAGTAATTTTAAGTACTAAAAGGTGCTACATGGTCTCGCTGGGCCCTCTCTTCTGCAGATCGTACAACCCCAACTCTCTCAATTTATGACAGAAAGTCCTCAGGATTATTAATTATTAACAAATAGTTTTCAAATATTTTCTTACTCTTATCCTATACACTCAGCACACTATCCTATACATAACAGCCAAAATATCTCCCCCAGATTTGCAAAGTAAATAGGATTTTTAATTTTTTAAATAAAACTGTATTTTGACACTTCGGGTTCTTCAGGGAGCCCAGAAGAAATATTAAGAAAAAATGCTCAAAAAATTCTCTTGAATTCTAGGAAAGTGTGAAACATACAAGGTATTTCTAGTAGAAATCCTTGTTCAGATCCCAGGCTGCATTTCTTTTCTCAATTCTTGTTGCTAAAAATGGGCATTATCATGACAGCTGCTTAAAATGATTCCTGATGGCCAAACACAGTTTTTCAAGGGTCTAGAAAAGACACACAGATAGAAAACTAATACAATCATTAGCCTTGTCCAAAATTCACCCAAGATTCTCCAAGCAATCCAAGATTACTAAGAAAATACTTTTGAAGCAATACTGGACCTTGACACATGCACTGTGATATTTCCTTTAAGGCCTTGGGCAACGTGGTGTAGTGAAACCTCCCATGGCCGGGAGGTGGAACTAAGTGGTCTTTAAGGTTTCTTCCAATCCAAACCATTCTGTGATTCTATGATCTGGGGGGGATAAGGGAGGGAGCAGAAAGAGAAAATGCCCATGGTCATTTCTAGATAGAAACAGGTATTTCTCACAGAGCAACGTCTGTAAGAAAAGCTTGCAGGATGTTTCATGGTCTGGTTGTTGCTATGTATGGGCTTTTCCAATACAAAACATCAGAAGTGTAAATAGAGCACTTACCTAATGTGACTGGAACAGAGAAAAACAAGTCCTTCAAGTGAGTATCTTAAAGTGGAAAAGCACATCAAGTTAATGAGTCCAGATGAGATGACTTGCAGGTAACTTTTCCTTCAATACTCACCTTGAGTTGGATTAAACTAGGATTTTTGATTCTAATGTAGAACATACCATTCTAATTGAAAAGAAACCAACACAACTGAGGGTCAGAAAGTGGACCCTCATGTTTTTGGTTTTGTTTGTTTTTTTGTTTTTTTTTTCAAACAGCTTCACTTAGACAACTCTATTAGAAAAGGTGCATTTTGGACCATTTCCAGGTTTATCTAATCCAACAAATAACCAAATTGAGACAAAAAGAAATTTTTTTTTTTTTAATACAGACAGCAAAGTCTATGAAGAGAAGTACTTTTGCATCCACCAAATTTTCAGACAACCAAAGAATCTCAGAATTTACAGCAACTCGGTGTCTTCACTCTCATACAGGAAATGTCTGATCTTCCCACAGGCAAACCAGCTCCTCCCCACGTGCTGGTGCCACCTGGGTTTGTGGAACTACAGGGGATTTCCCCCTTTGTGGCACTATAGGAAATTTCTTCCCTCTGTTGCACTACAGGGGATTTCCCCCCACTGCCCCAGCACACCATGACAGACCATCATGACATGACCTTTTACGATAGAAACCTTCTCCTTTTTAGGTACAGCACCACACAGCATTCTCCTTTACACATTGTACCTTCTGTTTCTGCAGAAGGTGGGGAGTGTCCTCTGTCCACCTGCAGAAGCTGGAGAGATGCTCCAGGTGTAAAAAACTAGGTTGGGTACTGGCCAGAGGTGCTCACTTTGTGGGGGACTCTATTCTGCCTGTGCCCTGACCAGATCTTATAAAATAATCAATAGTTAGCTGTAAATTGCAGGCAATAAAGATAATCCACTATTGTGCAGCAAAGGTTTAATATCAGACAGAGAAAATAAAATCCTTCCGTTAACAGTGGAAGTTAATTAGAGGTTAAAGGTATGCTGAACTTCCATCAGCATCCTGGGTACAGCTTATGATGTGTGAAAGGCTAAATATTGTCATAATGAACTGTTGCTGCCATCTACTGAACACAAGGAGTGTGAGCTACACAGACTTACAGTTTGGCTACTGATCAGAAGTATTTGCTTGGCTGGATTAACAAAAATTTCTGTTTCTTTAGAGCAAACTCATTTCTTTCTAGATTATATCCAGGACATAAATTTGCTTTAGAAAAACCTTGTGACCCTTTGGGAGATTCTGAATTCTCCTTTGGGAGCCACTCCTAGCCCATGGGGGAACTGTGAAAAGTAGCTCCCATAACATGAAACACATTCCTAATAAGAAAGAGTAATTGTTTAGAGCTGCAGGTTATTAAGATCTTAGAACACATCAGCTCTTCCTTAGCAATATCATGCAGAATCCATAAACTCTGCTGAGGATGGATATCTGCCCTGTGTGGCAGCTGTGGTTTAGCTGAGTGACCTCCTGTCTGGAAAAGCACTGGCATTGGCACTGCATTTCCAGCAGGATGCAGAAGGGTGGCACAGAGGTCAAGCAGGCTGCTGAGGGAGTTGTAAGCACCAAGAGCTATCCCAGCCCCACTGCTTCTTTTGTCCAGGGGATGAACCTGCTCTTGTATGTCCCAGAAGCTGCCTCTGAGTGTAAACAGAGGCATTCAATATACTCATATACATACATATTAAGAGAAAAAAACCTTTGTATTAAAACAAAAACCAACAACAAAGTCACTAAGTGCAAGAAATCCAATGTTATCACCTGGTTGAAATTAATTGAAAATTATATGCACATATTGCTTACCTACAAGGTATATACATGGACACTCACAGCCAAACTCAGCCCTGAGGGTAAATAAAACCTTATTTTGTGTTGACTTCAATAAGGCTGGACATATTTGCTTAGAGACATCTTTGGCTTGTTAGGGGCCAAAGAACACTGGAAATTGCAGGGGGAAAGTGGAAAATAGGTGGGGATCCTGCTGATCTTAAGGCACTGAATATAGTCGAATGTTCAGACACACAGCTCAGCAACAGTGAACAGAGCCAAGATTATGCGCTACAAGAGCGGTGACTTTGTCTAAGATGGCAAAGGGATTTAAAGAGAAAAAAAAAATCTGGTTCTTTTCCTAATTCTACAGTCAGGCACGTGGGAGCTGCATTTGACAGAACGACACCAGTGTGAGATCAGCGAGAACAGCAAAAAGCATCCTGTGTTCCTCTGCAAACCCTGTGTTCCTCTGCAAACCCTGTGTTCCTCTGCAAACCCTGTGTTCCTCTGCAAACCCTGTATTCCTCTGCAAACCCTGTATTCCTCTGCAAACCGTGTGTTCCTCTGCAAATTCCGGGATTTCCACAGGAGGGAGCTTCCTGCCCACGAAGCTCCCAGGCTTTTCCTCCTGGGAAAGGCGGCAGCAGCGGATCCCTGTGAGCTCCCAGCTCCTGCAGCCTGATTGCACCGCTACGAGGCACAGCGAGAGCCAGAAGTGAAATGGTTAACAGATAATGATGATTGTCAGAGCTTGTTAACCACAATTATTTCCAAGACATATGTAAATCTGTATAAATACCTAAGTGTGGTATATAATCTAAAACATACTGTTTAAATCTATAAGCATTCCTGAGTTAATTTCACTATGGGAACGTTAGTTGCAACTTCCTGACTTCACTGTGTTTGAATTCATATCCATGAACATTAATTTAAAATTAGTCTAAATATTTGTTGAGAAGTAATCACCTGATAAATTTAGCTCTTTTTCATTTTTATGAATTATTCATTATCTCCTCTCTTTCCGTTGATGTGTTGGTTGTTTTCAAGAATTGAATTACTGGTTGGCACTAAAAAAAAAAAAAAAAAAATCCAGCATTTCTAGTGATTTGTAAAATATTCCCCTTAGAAACTTGACTGATGACTACGAGAGGAATTGGGTTTGCCACCAATATTTTATGGTACTGGTTTGCCACTTGAAGGGAGTTTTTCAGAGGCGTAAGCAAGCTCATTCAGCAAATAATTTGCAACAACAAAAAAATCTGTTTATCTCTTGCATATATATCATTCCTACAAAGGAAGTTTGTATTAGCAAAAGTTGGTGGAAATGTTTGGGAACAGTATGATGAGGTGTGGCTGCAGGAATGAACAACCATGTGAAACTGCTGAACTGCAAATGCTCATTCTGCACAGCCATCATAGAAAATACCTGAGCTTGCCAAAGGAAAAGAATAACTCTATTCTAGGATGGCCTCAGGCAAGTCTGAATGAAAAATTATCAGCCACCAGATATTACAAAGAGGAACAAATCTTTTCAGGAAAGCTGTGAGTAGATGGCAGCAAGGATCCTTAGCACTGGCTAGTACAAAGGGAAGTGATTTGGGAGCCTCTGGCACACAGAGCACCGTCGCTCAAACTTTATCTATGGCCTGCCTTCAGTGCAAATAGTGGAAGACCAGATTTTCAGAATAGAACTTACATTCCCAAGTCTAGGGCTGAAAGCCTAATTTCTGGCTGCCACTCATTAAAACAATCTTTGTCACAAAATTAATTTACTATCAAACATAACTTCCATTCTTCCAACTCACTGAAACAGACTACATCTTGAACTTCCCATCGGGTATGTCTTTATATTTGTTACTTTCAAATCAGTTTGCTACTATTAATTAAATAGCAAATCAGAAAATTACTTCTAAAATTATAAAAAAGCAAAACCCCCAGAACACACCCTCATGTGGTTAGTAACTGGTACCAGCGCTTGCAAAACATCAAAGGCTTCTCTAAACATAGACTTTCATCAGTGATGCTGTAAGCCTTCATCTAATCTTTCATGATTTCCCATGCAGGAACATCAAAAGAGAAAGAAGAGAATAGCACTGTTCCAAAGCAACAGTGCTCTGTGTGAAAAGTATGTGTTTAGTTACAGCACATATAAAATATAAGTGAGAAATTATTTACATGAGACATTTTTTAATAAACATCATAATTAGCTCCCTGTCTTTTCATATAAGGAACAAGAATTTTTACAGTTCAAAATCATGTCCAAAGCTCAAGCGATTTCTGGAAGAAAATGAAAAAGAATTAGAAATGTATAAGCCTTCAAAGCAAGAAGATCAATTTATGTTCATTTTTACCTACTGAAACACATTCTGCATATTTCATTGTTTCTGTCATCTTGTTATAATCCATCCAAAGAATTTTCAAAGAACATTAAGTCCTACAAATAAACAAACTGTGAATTAGATATGAAAGGCACAAAAATGCAAAAATTACTATCAAAAGCCTTACTTGTAGGCTTTTGTCACATAAAGTATTTATATTAGCCAATCACTTTTTATCACTGCCACTGAGAAACAGGGGTTTTGGAGGGGACAATCCAAAAATCTTAACTATCATTTCTATCCTAATAAAAGAAAAATTTCTAAATTGTTGTTGGAATTTTAAAGCAAACACTTTTCAGTGAATAATTTAAATTGTATTATAATTTTGGTTTATAGCCTCTGATGTAAGTATCACAGATGATTTTTAAACCATTTCATGTTAACACAATTATGTTGGCAAAAGAGTTACACAGCAAATATCAATTTCTAATTCTAGACAACATAGAAAACATGCATCTTCACTTCTCTTTACCCCTACTACTGAGTATTCTTCTTCTCATATAGTTCTTATGGTTATCTTCACGGGAGAATTTTTGATGTAACTTTTTTTTTTTTTTTTTTGTCCATACACTTGGTCAAACACAATAACGTGTGTGGAGGAGTTTGGCAGGTTTGACATGTATTTTGAGATTTGATTCTGCCCTACAAAATATTGAACTGCATGTGTAATGCTCTTTAAACAGTTTAATAAACAAAAATTTAGGAACATTAAAAAAAAAGCAGATATAAAAATTAAACCGTTTTAGCTAATTTATCTTTTAGATATTGGGTTTGCACTTTTGCAGCTCTCAGCTGACAGCAAGGGCCCCTTTGGCCCTGGCCTGCACATCTCTATAGGTCTGCCTGTCCACCTTGCACACTTACAATGAGGAAACAAGCACCAATCATGACTGCCTTGATCCTCACGTCGAGATCCACAGGGACCTGGATCCCAAAGTTGGCGGTGTTGGTGAAGACATTGTTGACAAATCCAGACCAATACTTGGAAATTTTGCCGATCGTTGTCATCTCATTGAGAGCTTTTACCTGCACAAAGGAAAAACAGGAGCAGACATAAATGTAAACAAATCAAGTGCACACTGATGACATCTCCACAGAATTAATGACTGTGTCCTGACATGCTGAGTATGCTATAGCTGTCAGGTTCTCCTTTTATTCTTATTGCTGCAATGTTCTATTAGTGTCAAATTTCCCTTTACAAGTGACACGCAAGAAAGGGTCTCAAGTTTGGAAACATCAGCATCTTTAGAGCGGACAAAAAGTGGGAGAAAGCAATCTTGAAAGTTTATTCCAGTTTTGCCTTTCTTTCATAAAGTTGTGGGTTTTTTCCTCTCTCATGTTTTTTATATTCTCCTAGCCCCACTGCTGTGCACCACTGTCCCCTCAGGGGACAGGCATGCTCCCAACTATCTATCTGCATGTTTCTTACAGCATACTGAATTTTCAGACAATACCCACTGGAGTCTTCTAATTTGGCTAATGAGTTCATAAGTTGATAAACCCTTATGATTCTTAACTAAGTCAAAGCACTTTGTTCACATCAGAAAACTCTCTTCAGGGTTTCTTCAACTATCTCCCATTCTCCTTCTCACCTCAGAAATTTATTCAAAGTAGTAAAACTTTTAAATTGTTAACACTTGTACAAAACATACCTCAAAGTCAACATCTTCAAAACAGCCACAGGTTGCATATGGGCCAATTATCTTTAGCACATCTTCTTTACTTTCATTCTGTATAGTAAACTTTGGCAGAAAAGGGTCCCAATTCTGTACAACGTACCCAGCTACTGTACCTGGTGGGGACTGAACTTCTAACTAGCAAACAAAAGAAAACAACAAAAAATATTTTAGCTGATTTTATGTTAATATATTTTTCCATGAGAGTGTATTGTTAATATAATGACAAGATATACCCATTGAATATAGTAACATATCATTTTACCAAACGTGGAACTGGATATTGTAGAACTGTCAAACGGTGTTGTTAAATATAGTGGACAATATGAAATTCAAAAGCTGCACCAGAAACCAACATCTTACATATAATAAAAGACTTTAAAAAAGCTATGAACTGAGACAAAAAATTATTGTATTCAGGGAGTATCCTACAAGCTTATTTTAAGTAGCTGTACTACCAAAGGACCTTTTCTTTAAAAATCCTGACAAGGATAAGTGCTAAGAAGGTAAGTAGATGAGCTAACCTGAAAAATGCTTTCATAACACAAGAAAGATGTCTGAATAAAGGAGAGTCAAAAAATAAGGAGGAAAGATCCGATGCTCTACGGGATCCACATTTTTCACTCCAACCAGCTTACTTCCATGTTCTGCCATTTCCCAGAGATATATGGCGCTGAAGGCTCAGCCTCCTCGGAGATCTGCTTCCAAGTCCCACCCACAGACCCCCGTGGCCTCCACAGAGTTTCCATCCTTCGCCCTGCTGGAGTTCAGTGGGTGATCTCCACCTGTGTCACTGCAAGCAGTGCATTATACTTGTTTGGAGAGACATCACCAGACACCAAAGCTTTGTGTGGGATGTCAGCAAAGCCAGGTCCCATGGAAAGGAGGAGTCACACCGGGAACAGAACTTGTTGTAGCTACCCAAAGGGCTCCCCGCAGTTCCTGGGCTGAGGGGGATGTGAATTCCTGAATTCCTCCCTGCCACCCTGGAGGAGCTGCACAGCGAGATGCTGGGACACAGGGGGTTTGGGGTTCCCTCACCTGCTGCAGGAAGCAGGGGAAGCAGCAGCTGTTGCACCTCAGGGGTCGGATGACTCGGATCACCTCGCGGCCCGCGTTATCCGCGATCCTGATGGTGAACGCCCTGATGGGCGAGCACAGCTTGCGGTCAAAGCAGCCGTTCTCTTCCACCGCAAAGTAAACTCTTTGTCCCAAGGGGTTTTTTATCTCATATTTGCTGGAGGTCTCTGTGCCAAGTATGGCTAACAAAGCAAAACAAGTAGAATGCTAACTTAATATAATCTTTGTTATTACTTTAGCATAATATTAGTGCATGTATATATATATATGAGCATTTATTCTAGAAGTCTATGACAAAGATTGTTTAAAAAACTGTTTTGAAGTAGTAACACAAAGAAAATATACAAGTGTAAGGAAATAATAGTGCCAGGTCTGTATGTTGAAGGAATTAATTCAGACTTCGATTTGCTGTACACTAAACTATGTATCACAACAGAGAATCCAGATCCTGAGTTTTTGGTTTGGGCTTTTTCTGGCTTTATCATCTGTGAAAAGTAACATCCTGAGACTACCCCACCATAGTGACCTGCTGTCACCCAGCAGGTTATTTGACAATCAGGCCAAAACCATTTTGAATGGGAGAAATATATTCTACAGTATTTTACTGGTAGTAAAATTTTACAGTATTTAATACTTGTTCATTACTTTGAAATTCTGAGAAACTTTATAATTAGAAAATCTTTTGCTTCTTATGTTTTCTGACCTTCGTTTCTCCATTTGCTTTGTTTCTCATAGTATGTTAATGATTGTTAGATAAACTTTTCCATGTAAAGATCGTTAAGGTTTAATAACACTGAGGGGGAAGTGTCTGAGGGAGAGAATTTAGGACTGTTGTAGAGACAACTCACCCCTCAGTGGTTTGCTGCAGAACAGGCAAACAATAAAGTGAGCCTTCCCCACCCTATGACAGCATAACAGCCTGACACAAGGGCAGCAGGAGGGTTCACAGTGACTTCAGTGAGTTGGGGGCAAGACTTGGATGCCTTTTGGAGACAGCCACATGTCTCCAGCAGTCTCCAGCACTGTTAAAGGGTGACAAGGATTGCACCTTACCTTCCAGAAGCTCCACTTGCTGATGAATAATTATCCGGTCCAGCTGCTTAAAAAAAATAAAGCAGATGGTGGGTCTTGGATAGGTCTGGGGCTGCCAGTGGTCATGTGTCTATTTATTACTCATCTCCCTGTAATTAAGACTTCTTTCCTTACAGAGGTGCACAGGTTGGCTGCCTGAAGGGTATCGCATTGTATCTCAAATTATATCCCATCTCTATAATTTCTCCCTGAAATTATGTCTGAAAATAGGTGATGTGGCCATGTAATTCACCCACACACTTGGAGAAGAGTAATCTTCACTGGGGGAATAAGGAAGACAAAAGCAACAGAAAGCAGAATCCACTCTTGCTCCTGCTGCTCTCTTTGTCAGAATGGAAGCTCCTTACCCCAAATCCAAGGTTGGTGCTGGGCACTATGGCAGTGCAGGAGTGAATGAGCCTGGGCTCAAGCTCAAAATGTGCAGTGGCCACATCCCAAAGGACCTTGCGGGAGCAGCCCAGCAAGGCAGTCAGGGGATGCCAACGATGGCACACAGCAGCTTTAATGCTCTGATCTCAGGAACACAAGCCCTGCACCCTGAATCTGGCAAATGGTCATGCCAGGGTACCAGAATGAGCAAAACAATGAAACACTCAACTGGCTGAAAATGTCTTTCCCCACAAGATGGTTATGCAGGGGAAAACCTGCTTGCCGTGATACCTAGCTTTGCTGTGCTTTTAGTCCCTCTAAATTATTCTTTCTTGGAGAACACTTGTTCGCATTATAAAACCAACAAGATTTAATTTCAGTCTACCTTTCAGTTTTATGTTACTTTTTATGCCTGTTTTATGTGACAGTTTTAGGCTTTACCAATCTCTTTTCCATAATTTTTCAGGAAATTCCTGATGAGCAAACGCTTGGCACAGGGTTTTGCCATTACTCACAGCTGCAGGCACAAAGCACACAGCGACCTTCTGAGAGCACCATGCCACAGCTCTCCAGAGCCTGGATATTTTAAAATTGATAAATCTTGCCTCGTACGTATTCAAACTGTTGCAGACATTTGTCACTTCTAGTCAGTTCCCACAGCTAGTTCAGGCTGTAAAGAGAAGCTGGTAAAAAGAGGAACTTCTTTATCCCTTTCATTAATCTCAGAAATGTGCATGCCAGTAATTGAAATAATAAAAAATATTTAGACGTAAAAATATTGCCCCAAGAATCTTTGCTGTTTGTTGTTTGGGTCTCATGAGAGAGCTCTTGGAGCTCATGGGAAGGGCTCTGCTGATGGAAAGAGAATAAAAAAGTTAAAGATGGTAGAGCTATTTTAATATTTTAGTATTTATTTTTATATGGATTTCTTTTTCCCATGTAGACTTTCACAGGGAAAAGAAAATTAATGACCCTGAATTGTTAAAAGCATTGACTGATTTTGGTATATTTGTGTACTGTGCACAATGTATAAACAATGTTGAGACAACACAGCAGTACCACTTGTTATCCTTGTTTTGCCTTGCACTGGTTTCTGCAGGGCAATTATTCTGATGCAATTTTATTGGGGTACTTCTGGATTGAGGGAATTCTGCACTTGCATTTGAAAGCACCCAAAGCCCTTTGGCTTAACAAGGGCCTGGTCCCCTTGAGCTCAGATATGTTAAAATTCCTTATACACAGCTAATTCTCAGTATTCAGTTCTGTGGGCATCTGATCAGCCTAACCAACTCTAAACAAAGAAGCTTTTGACAAAAGTAGTTAAACCTGAGTGGTGGCACAACATGCAGTTGAAGAACTCAGAAAATTCTTCTCCAACATTTCACTTGTGTATTCCTGCTGTGGGAAAAGGTTAATTTGATTTTTGTTATGGACACTGAACTACTCTTCAAGCTATGGCTGTAGTCTGGAAGACAGTAATGAGGTTTAGGTAAATTTTTTCTGTAGGAAGTTATTAAAGAGTGATGGTCATAGAAAGCTGATGTGTTTGCTGGGGCAGCAGCAGTTTTCTGCCCTTCTCTGGTGCACCTCAGCTGACCAGAACTGTTCCTTCACCTGAACTCACTTCAGGGTGTGGATCTGCAGAGTGAAATGTTGCTGGCTGGCCTTTACCTACAGGACACAGTTTCCGATTCTCTCATCCTATCCTTGAGTTGTTATTTAGAGTAAGGCTGTAGGGATCTCTCTGAGACTGACTAAATTTGGTTTCTTGTATCAGAGTCAAACATGTCATGGTCTTATTGAGAAATACATTCAGCTTTCTCAAATACAGTCAGTTATCTTGCCCAATCCTGCTGGAGAACGTAATTTCTATTTGTTCTTCTGTATTTATTCACAACCACACATAATCTTTCTTCCAGTGATGTAATTCTATAAATTAAATATGTCTCTTTCCCACAGTTTGTTTACTCTCCTAGGCACTCAGTATGGTTCCCTCTCCGATAGTGTTGTTTTTATTCTACAGATAAAACAGATGGAGTCTTGTTTTAAAGGAGGTTCTCTATTCTCCATGCACTTCCAGTAGGACCTCTCTGTGCTTGTTTCAGTTTGGACCCACCTTTCCCAAGTGCACACAGCACCAGAATGAAACACAGTCTTTAAGAAATCTTCCCAGTGGCATAAATAATGTCCAAGTTCTGCTAGAAACATCTTCATTCAAGTGTTTAATTATGTGAAAATCTCTTAGTCCATGAGGATAAATCCCAAGGGATTCCCCTAGCAGCTGTGAATCCCACATGCATTCTGCAGGCAGCCCTGTCCCTGCTGGTGGGACCTCCTTTATGCTCCCATCTACCCTGAATGAGCCCCTTTCATTAGCCACGTGGCCACTATGGCTTCAGCATCACACACCAGAACGTTCTGCACCACACAGAAACTCGAGCTGTGGGAACATGCCAACCATCAGCACGGCACACCGGCTTCCCACTTTTCAGACTGCAGAGAAAACTGAGAATTGTTAGCAAAGGCTGTAGAACAGGCCAAGAATAAACATGAATGAGCTCTTCAGTTCCAGTTGTAGCTCTGAGAGTGACCTGCTCTTTTGTCTTAACGTCAGATGCAAAGCTTCTATAAAATGGAGTGATAGTATTTGCTTGCCTACATTGTCTGAGGTGTAATTTGTGTTCATACAGGAGCCTGAATATGTAACCTGCCAAGTACTGACTATCACAATCACTTTTAGACTAAAAAATGTAGCTTCCATGGTCTGTAAGCAAATGCTTGTGTAATTGACAACACATATCATTTTGTGCTCAGGCATCTTGAAATGAAAGACTTGCTTCTGAAGAGTCTCCCCATTTCATCAGCTATCTAGTTAACTCAGTCCAAATATAAAATACATCAAATTTCTACTCCTATACAAAACTAGCAGAAATGTGTGTCTAAAATACACATCCTGAGTGCAGTAAACATTTCCCAGCATCACCAAATGCAAACACAGCAGAGATGTATCAGAATCATGATCTGACTATGCTGGGGGCCTGATTCTGCCCCTGCCCACGCCAGGCAGGGCATGTGACACCTTACTCAGCATGTAAGAATGGCAAAATCCAGCCACATGTAAAATGCAAACCTCAGTCAGTGTCAAAGCAGCAGCAGGGAGTGACCCTCCTGGTAAAAATATTCAGAAGATGAAACTTCTGGAGCAGAGCTGCAGACCATCAGTGCTCTGAGCTCCAGGTGCTGAGAGTTTCACAGAGAAAAAGGGACAGCCTCATGTTTAGCAGTAGGATGGAGAAGACTTAAGCATTAATTTTTCTTCCCCACCTATGACCTACTTCTCTGCCTCAATTTTCAATCATTTTCCCCTCTCAGGCATTAGCACTTTCTTCCTCACACAGAGTTAATGCAAGTTTGTAGCCACTCAGACTTACACTCATCTAATTTCTATAAAATGAATGGCAGCAGTGAACAAAAAGCTTCTTTCTCCTATGTTCCTTATCTCATAGTAATGTCAAACAACAGGAAAGCCTCTCCATCTCAACCAACCCCTCCCCCAAGAGGAAAAACCCAAACAACCTCATCCTCCAGGGTATCAAAGCAACATAAAAGGAAAACATAACAATTCTAAAATTCAGAAAGATTCAGGACCTGGTTCAGGTACTCCAGACCAGGTGGCAAATTATGAGTGTGTGATGTTTGCTTCCAGAGACTTGTTGGTTCAACAGGAGTATTCTGTTGAGGAATGTCAGAAGAGCCAGGGAGGTAATCCTTAAAGATTAGTTTGGTTTGTCCCTGAGATTCTGCAGAAAAGAAAGAAAAAAAAAAAAAAAAAAAAAAAAGACAAAAAACCCAGAAACATCAGGACCAAGGAGCTGCTAGCTTCTTGAATCAAAGCTGGAACATCATTCTGCATGTGACTGTATCAGTACTTCAGGGCAGGAGTGAGGACCCAAAAGGAATCTCCTGATGTCCCACACATGGAGCACTGATTATAAAACTGCCTTAAGATTTGCAAAAGGGAATCACTGCAAAGAGGAATCACTGCAGATGAAGGTAAATCAGGAGATGTGGTCTTGGAGGGCAACTGATCTGCTCTGACAGCTGGTGAGCACAGAGCCTGTGTGGCAAGGCTGGAGCTGGCCTGGACTCACACACAGGGTGGCCAGAAGCCCCTCAGCACAGGTTGCCCAGCTCTGCTCCCTGTGAGCTGCCCTGTGTGCCAGTGTGCCCTGAGCTGCTGAGGGCTGGCTCCCAGCAAGATGTTTCCCAGCATCCTGAGGGCACCCATAATTTCTCTTAATTAGAGATAACCTTTCCAGGGATCTCAGATTCCCCAAGCTGGATATTACAACCCTGATATCAAAGCCTACACAGTCTCTAATAGTGTATTATTTATTATTATCTTAATGACTGGATCAGATATCATTATATTGTGTTTTCTGGTTTGCTACCACAAGTCCTTTAGGGCACAGTGATGGTGACTTGGCCAGTGCTGTGAAGGTAACGAGAGCATTTACCTGTAAACCCACACTGCTCCACAGGCACAGGCACCATCTCCCACAGCACAGCCACCACCTTAACCACTGGACTGCAAAAAACCTCCTGCTAGTATTTCCAGGTACATTGTTCCTCGGCCTTCAGCAACACTAGTTCTGCAGGAACCAGGAAGAGCAAACTGACGCTCTCCCCATCTAAATGGCAAATCCTTGTATTGAGCTGAGCCCCTCTGATTTGGCAGGAAAGCAGTCCCCAGACTGATCATTTTTATCTCATCCGTGACAATACTTAGACACAATGGGGTTTGAGGTCCAGAAGGAATTTTGGCTCTAAGTCTGAATCTCTTTTTTGCTGTTGTGGGTTTAAATGAGATCCTTTCTTATTATTTGAACTCACTGTGAAAGATTCATCATTCAATCACATTTTGATCTTAATTTGTCTTTGCAGCCACTGCTTTCTTTCAAAGTCTGAGACCACAGGAAGAAGTAACCCCTTTGAATTTGTTGCCGGCTTTTAAAAATGTATAACTAGGTAATAAATATTTTATGTGCTCTTCTGCATCATTTTACCTCACAGGGTTCTGTTACTGCCGTAACTCTTGTTGTTACATGAAATGCCATGAAGTAGCCCAGTGTTAGTGTTATTCTTGAATAATAAAGAGGAAAAAAAGACAACAAATTGCAGTTCTACCTGTCAAATTTTAAGCTATACAAAAAACAAACAGTAAATATATTAAATATTAATGACAATTTGAGCTAGTCTGACACTTTGTCTATTTTTGTGTATGATTCCCATTTCATTACTAGCTTGGAGAACCTTAAAAGTTAACATATGATACAGTGAGTATTCTGTAAAAACACAATTTGTAGAGTTGCATGTTCCTGAAAGAGGTGAATTGTCAAGTTTCTTCATACTAAAAACCATATTCCACACCATTAATATTCAACCATTTCTCCTAACTGATAAACATAAAAAATATGCAAAACCACATTTCTCTTATATGGCTAAAGCAAAACAAAATTTGAAACAAAAACCCCTATATTGCAAGAGTACAATAATGCTGTAAAACCTGCTTGCTCCTGTGTACCTTTTAGTGCTCTAATGCAGAATGTCTTGAGTGTTTTGAGGGCAAGAAAGAGGGATAAAAACTTTGGCAAACCTAGACAGACATTGCTGATACTCCCTGGGCCAACACCTGCCTCTGCACATGCCAACAGAGTGACCTCTGTGGAGTTGCACTCAGGAGAAAAAGAGATTTCTATCCTTCTGCTTAGTTTAAGCATTTGAAAACCTGGAGAAACTGAATTGCAAAGGCTGCTTAGGTCAAATGCTGGATGTTTGCCCTTTGCCCTGTGCACTCAATGGCTACTGCTGTAGTCAGTGCATGACAGACACACCCAGAGAGGAGTAATCTGATTAAATTCAGTTATTATTACTCTTCATATGGAGTTATCAGGTCTCTGGCCAGTTTTGAATGTGAAAAGCATTTGCCAGTGTAGTAGTTTCAAAGTGAAATACGGAAGAACTGTGTACGCACTCTTGCCAGGCATCTTGTACTGACAGGTTTAAACCCCAAGATACCAACACTAAATTTTCTGACTGAATGCAGATGCCAACATTTTATAATGTGTTGTATTCAAATAACATCCTACTATAGGTTTTAGTCTCCTTAGGAGCCTGCTGGATGCTGAAAAATTAAAGGAAAACAAAACAACTGTGCTTTGACTGATGTGGTTTTATCCTGAAACACTCATTTCATCAGGCTGCTGATTGCTGGAAACACATAAGACTGTAGTTTTCTCTAAACACGATCTAAAAATACAGTCTACAGATGCACTTACCTTGAGAAGCCATGAAGCTTCCTGAGTTACTTCTTCAAAGGAAAGCGGGTTAAAATAAAAGGCTTTTCTTGTTGCAGCAAATAAGAAAGGCTCGCAGCGTGCACCGAAGTTCAGAAGGTGTCTGTTCCTCGCTGTGGGCCGGCGGGAGCGCTGCCCGAGCCGCCCGGGGCGGCGGCCGCGGAGCCAGCGCCGATCCGCCGGGGCAAGGAGGGAAAGGAGGTCAGCCAGCGCAGAGACAGAGCTGCAGCGCACCCACCGCCTAAACGAACGTGTTGGACCTCAAACCCTGCTTTACAGCATCTGTGTTTATTCTGAGAATACAAAGAGTCTTGATTTGGTTCAGTGTTTGTGTTTCCACTTCTTCAGGTTATCCAGAGGGGCTAATGAAGTTGTGGATAGCTCATCCCTAAAAGTGTTTAAAACCAGGCTGGATGGAGCTCTGAGCCCCCTGGTCTAGGGAAACCTATGCCTGTCCACATCAGGGGGTTCCCTTCCTACCCAGGTCGTTCTATAATTCTATGATTTCCCTACAGCTGACCCCAATCAACATTTTCCACACACAAAGCAGAAAAAGCTGTCTTGGGTTTCTCATTGTATTCCATCCATGTAACATTAGCCAGAGGATGTTCTCCAAGGGATGTCATGCCTACACCCAGTCCCATAAAATCATCCTGTACATTCTCCCACCACCATGCCCCCCTACCACTCACACCATGCAGGGCTCTGCTGATCCCAACGAGGTGTTTGAACTGGATTTGGAGAAATAAAACAGTCTGGCAGTGCTTTGCCCTAGACAAGCACTGTCCAAAACCATGACATATATAATCACCCCTACTGCACTGGGAGGAAAAGATGAGGAGAAGAAGGGAGAGTAACCTTCACTTACCAGCTCATATTCCTGCCTTGAGTGCCCAAGCTGCAGTGGAAATCATCAGGCAGATGTGATCTGCAGGCAGCTGTGATGCATGGCTGCAAGAATGGCAGAGCCTATGCACAGAGCCCAGCAGAGCAGAGGGAGGTGCTGGGGATCATCTTCTGTCCTCTTTGCTACTGCAAGTTACACTGGTTTGAATCTGTCTTGAAGTATGGTTGAGCAGATTAAATTCCAGAGTTTACAGCTCAGGAAGATGCAGATGAGGATTCTCTGAAGGAAGAATACAGAAAACCCCAAATTATACAGAAGCTGATTTTTATAGACTATAGTAGCAAATGCAAGAGTCTCAGATCTACTTACTGATTTGGCTACATGAAATTTCCCAGGAGTTTATCACTGCCTGCTTGAGAACTCCCTGGGTGCCGTGGCAAGCACAGGCCAGCCCAGGAGCCAGACCCTGCTGTGCTCAACCTGGAAACAACCAGAGAAGTGACAGAGACAAGGATTTTGAAGACTGAAAAATGGGTACTGAACAAATCCTTCTGGATTAGGAGGAAGTTTGACATAACTGGAAATAAAAATTAAGAATGACCAAAAGCTTTTGCTTCCTTTCTCCCTGTCAAGGATGGGCTTCTTTGGAGCAGAGGCTCTAATCAAGAGAGCAGACACAAAGCCTAAAAAAAGAAAAAGTGCAGGGAACGCTCTGGATAAATATAGTGAATCTATATTTTAAAATTATAGATGAGAATTCAAATGAGATGGCACTCGTGTATCTATAAAAATTAATAAAGACTTAATTTACCTCCCAGAGAATTACAGGGCAAAAAAAGTCCCAGTAATTCTGTCAATGCATAAAACAATCATAATACATTAAGAAAAGAACACTCTAAAAAAATATACTGAAAGAAGACATTTCAAACATTTGAAAAGTGTTTTTTAAGAAGTCCAAGTGATTCATTTACTGACCCAGAGGAGGACTCAGGCACAGCCTGTGCTGCTCTGGGAGCTGCTGCTGCCCTGCACAGGCTCTGCCCAAGAGCTGCCCTGGCAGCACAGGCAGGCTCCCCCTCCCTGCAGAAGCCAGGTTTCATTTTCCTGCCACTCATGAAATAAACATTTCCTTGAAATAGTTCTGCCTCAAATAATTAATTTTTCTGATATTATTTGCAAAATTGCAGTAAATAGGTAACAGAAAGATATACAACTTTAAGTACATTTTGTGGTTTTGGTTTTTTTCACAAATTTTCACATATTTCACAATATCCCCTTTTACCTATTGTTTTATTCCAAAGCAATCATTTTAGTAGATTATATCAGTAGATTTCAGAAAGATTTGCAAACAATAATCTTGCACTGGCATAAGTTCTTACAAGTAAAACCACATATTTAATAATTTCTTTAATCTGAATTTTTGGTGTGCTATTTTTTAAAAATAAATACTCATAAAAATAAATACTAATATAGATCCAAATAGGCTGCTGCCATAATTCAAAGCATTCTCACTAAGACATCAGCCACATAAGACTTAATCATATTTATTCAGGCACAAAGACAGCCATTCTTTGGTGTCCTTTAGATATGCACAGGAGGAATACTCAAGAAATGACGACAAACATGTAAAGAATTGTGTACTGCTACTTCTAACCATATTTTAAGGCCTTCAGGAAACAGAGCAGCAGCACTCAAAAGAGAATTTCACCAAGACACTGAATTGGCTGCCTCTGCCCCTTGAAGAAGGCCCAGGAGAGTGGTATCACTGCCTACATTGACTCTACAGTCAGTCTCAGCACTAAAATAGAGTACACTGCCTTCCTCTGCATGAATATGCTGGGCATCTGAAACACAGTCACAGCTATTAAAAAAAAACTAAAAGAAAAAGAGGAAAAAAAGAAGAAATTGAGTCTATATACATATATTCCTGCTACCTTAGAAGGCACAAGTTAGCATGGATCCATCAAAATCAATGAGCCTATCCAGATCGGGGCAAGCAGTGCTTGGCTGAAGGAATTTATACATCTAAGACCTTCCTTTTTTCCTTAAAGAAAAATTGCATCTTTTCTATAACTACCATGTCCACAAAGGCCCAGAGATCCATCCCTGCTGAGCTGAGGTACAAGCATCACTGCAGTTAATGGTTATTACATAAATTACTGCAGGAAATTTATCCATGGACTAAGGCATCCTTGTCCTTGGCACAGAAACAGAACACGGATTTTCCTCCAGAAAGCATGTAGCAATAGTCAACCAGGTGGATCAAGAGAGCAAAAATGTCATATGGCTCAGCATAGGTGCCATTTCTCTGGAGTCTAATCATTCTTCCATTTTCTATAGGCACCACAGGAGGAGTATGGCAATGGTTTCACAAAAAAAAACACCTTCACAAGAGAAAATCAGAAGACAGTAACAAATTTCAAAGAATTAGGAAAAGCTGTTTGATTTTTCGTCCTGCTCCCTGCTGTTGAGAAAACTGCTCTGTGAACCTGGTGAGAAGTATTTGTCCCTGTACTCAGCAGGAGAAGGTGGCACTCCCCTTTCCCCACTGTACCACTACGGACTCCTCCAGGTAAGAAGAAACTGCCTCTCCCCTTGTCCTCACAATCTCCGTAAGTTCAGGAACGGGAGCTCAGCCCCTCCACAGCTGCCCTTCCTGAGCCCCATGCATCCAGGGACGCCCTGTGCCATGCAGCAGCAGGCTAAGAGCAGCACACAGCCATCAAGAAATGCACCTGAGCATCACCAGGCAGAGCTGAGCTTCCCTGCTGCTGAGAGGGGTCATCACCAATCACTGTTTGCATTCTAGAGTTCCCTTCCTCGAAATATCAATTGTGACCAGCATTAAAATTAATTGTTATTGCCATTTTTTAAAATAGGAAGTATTATAGCCTCCTTTCTTCCTTTTTCTTGTCTTCCCTTTAGCCCAGGGAGAAATGCTGAGAGTGATCATAACTATCAGACTGTGACCCTGTGCAATTACAAGCCCCAGGTTACATTATTTCACCCAGTATTGCTTTCTGCGCTGGAGAGGAAAAAAATAAAACCCAAACAATGTCTTAAATCAGCCAGCACCTAGTAGGGTTCTCACCTTGAACTTTTGTTTGTGAGGCGTCTTGCTCCAGCGTGCGCCTCCCGGAGCTCCTCCCCTGCGGCCCCGCAGGAATTCCGCAGGCAGGTCCCGCCGCCGCTGCGGAGCCGCTCCCGAGGCAGCGCTGCCGGCCCGCTGCCACACAAGGGGCCTGTCGGGCACCAATTAACAGCGAAACGCAATCCTTCACACAGCAGCTCCCCAGCACCCTGATCTTTATTTTGCATTCAACTCCGCTGCGAGAAATGGGATCCAAACAGCAATCTCAAAGTGGTTGTGTAAGGGGAGAAACCTTTCGAGCTTCTGTGGTTAGAGATGGCACATGGTACTGAATACATATCAGGGGTTTTAATGCTACCCCAGCAAGTATTGATGTGGATCAGAAACTAAATATAGATGTCAGCAAAATAAATCCACCGACATTCATAACGCAGCTTCTGTACCAAATCTTCACACAGGAGAAAGAGAAGGGTTTGGCATGGGGTTTGTCTCTTTGAGGGGTTTTAGGGGAACAGGTGTGTTTGCTTTTTGGTTTTGTCAAGGTTGTTATTTTTTTGTTTTGTTTTGGTTTGTTTGTTTTGGTATTTTGGTTTTTTTTGGAAGTACATTTCCGTTGCACTAAGTTTTAAAGTTTTTATTAATAATCTCTAAAATCTTGTTCTTATGAAAATACAGCCTTCAAGTCACTCAGGGCACTGTCACTAAGCTCATGCATGTCCTGGTTTCCTACCAGTTCTGAAACAGCTGCAGAAAGCAATTAGTACAAAAAACTGAATTCATCCCCAGACCCAAGTGTTTCAATTTTAATCACATTAAGCAGGTTTTAGAATAAAAAGCAGAGGAAGTGTGGCCATTAAGATTTATGTAAGCAGAATGTGATTTAAGCAAAAAATAAGGCCAGGAAGGAGCAGCATGGAAGACCTGAATATGTCTTGCACCAAAACCTGTACCAAAAGTCTCCACTGGTCATGAAGAAATTTCCAAATCGGTCTCTCACTTCTGAGTGATTTTGTTCTAAACAATGGACACTTCGAGGGAATCTGTTATATCTATCCTGAAGGTGAATCTATCCTGAAGATCTATTCTGCTCCAGATAAATATCCTTTAATATTAATTGGGTTTGAGTGTGAGAAAGAATAACATTCTCTGTGGCAAGGGCACCCTGGAGGTCCACAGTTTACTTGATTTGACTGTACATTGGAAACAAAGATATTTTAGGATACTTTTCTGCTTACTTTAGTAAACTCCCATTAATCTATTTTGAGAAGCTGAAATTAATTTAATCTGTTATTATTTTTACTTTTGCCTGAAACCAGCTGCCACGTTCAACTGAAATTTGCAAAACATCTCAAATTCTGTCTGCTGATTAAACACAAACTGAACAGTAACAGAACTGCATCTTGCCTGTCCTTACATGCAGCCAATGCCTCTGAACACTCCACAGGCTGAAAGCAAACAGCAGACATTCTTTCTGGGGAGTCAGAAGCTTTCACAGAACTAACCAAACTGCAACAGCCCAGCAGTCCCTAACAATTAGATGTAGTGCTTGTCCCTAATTAAATTTTACACAGTTAAGCCTATGATAAAATGGGATAAAGTGATCAGTATACACTGGTATATTAGTAAGATTATTTCTGTCTTCTAGTACATTGAATGACAGAAGTCTTGTATACAAATTGCAATTAACACTCTTGGTGATGATGGAGAACTTTTTTGCTGGCTTTGAAAATTCATCAAGCAAAATTAGAAGAATTGTGCTTTGCTGAAGAAAAATGCTTCTCTCACACTTACCCCTCTCCTTTTCCCTTTCTCTTTGAAATGTCTAAATTGGAAGCAAGAGTACTGAAAAGCCACAGTATCAGAAAACACCGAGGATATGTCAGGTGCTTTTCCTTCTGTAAAAAAGTAAAAACCTTTGAAATTGAGGTTGGCACCCACTGTGAGGTCAGCAGTGTGAGCTCCTGCCAAGGCAGGTCCAGGTGAGGTCTGGCAGCTTCACCCAAGAGCAGAGCACAGCAGCAGCAAACCTGCACAGAGAGGAGACACCCAGGGCTCCCCGGGCTCAGGAGCTCTGGGCTTTGGCCCTCGGGTGGCTCTGCAGCCAAACTCCACTGGCAGCTTTTGGTGTGCTCCCGGAGCACAGCTTGGTCCCAGCAGCAGGAATCAGTCTGCACACCCCAGGACTGAGCCAAAACTTCTCTCCAGCACAACAAGTGAGGATGACCAGGAGACTCCCCTAAATCACTCTCTGTGAACTAAATCACCAGCATGGACACACCCTGCCCACCACAGGATCTGCTGTCAGATCCCACCTTCCCTCCATCAAAGACATTCAATTTAGATTTTTAGCAGTCATTACAATGCCTGCCCAATGGTTCAGTTTTGCTAGTTCCATCTCTGGAAAATATAAGTCAACATGACTCTAGCAGGCTGCTAGAGTGACTCTCCACAGCTTACACAGAGCAGCTCAGACCTGGTGAACAGTTCTGTGCTCATTTAGAGCACGAGGGGATCATTCCTGACACTCACATGCAGGCCACATTCTAAGACTTAGAAATACAAGCTTATTCATTGATCTTCTCTATATTTTCAGAAAACCATCATTCAATATTCTGATTCTAAATTCAAACTAAATAAAACTATTTTTTTTTACTTTTTGAGGGAAGGAAAAAAAGAGAATTAGATAAGACATCCATGAGATTTAGTGGCATAATGGTAACTCTATTAGGACAGCAAAATTAATTTCAGTTTCCCTGAGGTATCTTATTTTAATTAACAAATCCATGATCCTGCTCTATTAATTAGCATACTGAAAGAATAATAAGTTTTAGATGAGCTTAGTTCTGATAAAGCTTTTCATCCCCTAAAAAATAACAAAAGGAATTAGGAATCTCAATCCAATTTGTCTTCTACATTTAGTATCAATGTGTTGAAAGTCTACCCAATAATACAGCACAACTATTAGTGTTTTCTTTTAATTTTGAAAATGCATTTACTGCATTTAAGACACTCTACCTACTGAAGGGGTGGTAGTGGCCCACTAAGTAATCCTTGCAGGATTCTAGGCAATTTTATTTTTCATATTATTTCCTATTGATAACCAATAGGGGAAACATGTGGAATTTATTACAATCCTTATCTACTGTGGATTTTCCAGAAAAATCATACAGTAACAGTTATCCACTAACATCCCAACTGGGTCAAATAGAATCCTAGGAACTTATCTGGGACACCAAGCTACACAGCACGTGTTTTGTACCTCAGTTTGCCTGGACCATTCAGTGGGCACTGAGCAGCCTCTTTACTACTGGTCCAATCACTCATTTTTATAGACCTGTTCATGCATTAGTCTGCTTAAAGCAGATCTGGAAACCTGATTCTTTTTTCCCTGGTTCCTCTCTTCCTGTATCACAGGTTAATTACTGGCAAAATTTTAAAAAGTAAAAAACCAACCAAAATCACAAGTTTTTCCATTTATTCTTGATCCTGAAAGCAACAAATTTGTACTTTCGATTCCTGCAAATCACTTTGCAGATTGCCTGTTATATGAAGTAAGAGAGAAGAGGGAAATACTAGCAAATCACCAGTGTGATTAGGTAAGCAAAAAAAGCTAAGGAGAAAACTTGTGCATGCATGAAAATGTAGAGTTGCTCAGAACTTCAGAATTGCTTGTCCTGCAAAGACAGGCTGCTTCTTTGACCTAGCACCATCTGTAAAACAAATGAGAGCAAAAGTGAACACTAGGAGGTTGTGTGTGCACAATTTTTCTAATTAGTATGTCTTGACAGCATTTTGCTTTCAAACTCCCAGGCTGAACATTTTCAATGTTTTACAGATGTACAGAAGCCAAGACAGTTACTGTGTAACAGAAAGACAATTACCAAGAACAGGATTTGTAGAAATAGGTGAACAACTTAAAAGTATGTGCTGTAATGGAAAAGCCATGTGAACTTCTCTAACCAACCTGCCATGGCTGCACAGTTCCTCTCTCAGCACTCACAGAGAGGGGAATGGCAGGAGCTGCTTTCTTCCCATAAAAAGATGCTCTGGTAGGGATTTGGTCCTGCTGTCTCCGCATCTCAGCTCCCTTAGGATTGATGAGTTCTGTTGTATATCCCACGAGATCCCAAAGTGACACCCTGGTGCTACCCTGCCTCTGATGTATGCAGGAAAATGACAGCTACTGTCTGAGATATTGTCTCTAAGGGCTTTACAACCATGGACAGTTCATTGTCATAGACAACAACTTCCTGCAAGGCTGTCTAAATACTTCAGCTTTGCTTGCTTTATTTTGATTTTCATCTCCTTTTCATCTCCATGTGGTCCATCGAGGAAGCCTAATTAGCATGTCCCTCTCATATCTTTGTTTTTTCTTCAGGTGCCTAATAGCAATTATTGACGGTATTTATTTCCTACTGTTTATGTCCCAGGCATGAAGGATGATTGTCAGCAGAATTATTAACATGCCTTATCATCACTTTATTGTGCATCTTTTTGAAAGGCTTTGTAATGTGTTTGGTAGTTTACTCAGAAAAATATAGAAGTTTAGAGAAACTTTCCTCTCTACAGAAGAAAACAGGGCAGTGCTTTCAGAGATTCACTGCTCTAAAATTTTATCTTCTCAGAAGAATCTGAATCATGGAAGACTGAAACCACAGAAGCAGGAAATATCCTTATTTCATATTTTATGTTTTTTAATTAGGGTTTCAATATCTCAGGATTGATATTTTTGTTCTAGTGGGGACTGGCAGATAGATTTTTTAAAGTAATTTATCATTAATAGGAGTACTAAAATAATGCTTAATAATAGACTCACCAGCTCTCCTATTTCTTGAGCATCAGGTAACCAAATACAGAACTCCAAGTTTCAAATTTGTTCAAAACAATGGGAAGTTAAAAAAAAGAATCCCCCTCCTGCTAAACACACACACACCATTTTAATGTAGTAATTATACGATTTGAATACAGGCAGGGAGAAAGCCAGGGAGAAACTTAGCATGTCAAAAACAGAAAATGTATTAATTATAGCAGCAAGAAATGAGAATAATGAAATACTGGGAGAAATTCTACTCTTGTTTATTCTGGCACAATAGTTCGTTCTAGTGACTAGTATATGAGTGTGGCATATATATATATATATATATGTGTGTGTGTATATATATATATACACACACAGAACTATACATTACATTTTATGAACTCCAACATTTGGTTAATGGTTACTAAATCTGGCATTTACAGAGACATTAGGAAGGATGGTATTTATTTGCAATTTTATTTCCCTCAGAGTGAAACATGGAATCCATACAGCTGTACAATGAAGATGATTAGAATTGCCAGAAATGAAGGCCTCCTGGGAAAAAAAAATATCAGTAGCATAGTTTAACTACATGAACCATAATTGCATTATTAGCTCTGCTGTGCTCTACCACAGGAAAGCTAATGACATGATTCTGAAGAAGCTTTATAGATTATGGAAAACTATATAACCTCTTGCTCTCCCATTGACAACCCAACTCATTTGAGATCCCTGTCATTAAGGGAAGGAAAACCGTCTCATTTTTCACAAACCCTGTGAATATGTCTTTTCATGGATTTTGAACTTTAACTGTATGTGTCCATGGACCCAGTAGCTGAAATAACAAATAACCATTTGTACAACCTTAGCCATCTCAATTTTAGCTGTGAAATGTATTTTCAGTCCCAGTCCAACACATAAATGCAGAAGGAGTGAGGAAGAGGCATTCCCTACTCCAGGTATGGACTTGGCAGCACCTGGAAGGTAGCAAGAGGATTGTTATCACAATAATCACTGTATTATATAATTATATATTATTATTATCATCATCATATTATCATAAACTGACAGCAAAACGAAATGTCTGGGGTTTTTCAGAGTTCTAATTGTACTTACTGTTTAATCAGTCTGCCTACAGTTTACTAGCAGGTGTCCATCTTAAAAGCAGAAGACCAAAGTAATTTTCATTATGTTCTGAAAATGTGCAACAGTTATTGCCAGTGAGTGACTCCCTCTTTGTCCCTCCCAGCCTCCAGGTTGCAAAGACATAAATATATGATAACCACGACTTTTTCAGTAATTACTGAAATAGAAATGTGTAATCAAGGTTATTTAGTCTTAAAACACAAAATGATCCAAGACAAAATTTTCAAACACTGGGCCTGGGAGAAATCTCCTCCATCACATGACACAAAGCCAACTTGCTCGAATGTTTCACTAGAACACATTTCACTAGAACACAGAATGTTTTCAGAACACATTTGCTCCAGGACTCCTTGGAGTCCCGCAACAACCCTCAGGGATTTTTTCTCACTTTATGTGTGCACTGATAGGCACCTGTGGATCCCCCCCGAGTTCTCCACCATACAAGGATCAGTTTCTTTTTTCACTGGGAAGGCTTAAAAGTGAATTTATGAGCTCTGTGGGAACTGAAAGAGAACCAGATTTGGGGTTTTTCCCAGTCCACAGCTCAAAGGTGGGCATAATTGATTTAATCTGGTTTTGGTCTTGGATCACTTCACCACTCTCCAGGTCGGGGCTTGGACGGGCACGTTTGCTCCTCTCCTGCTCTGGGGCGCTGCTCCTGCCCTCACTGGCACCATGAGACCATCAAGGCACCGAGGGCACAAGAGGAAAGGCTTGCCTTTAAATGGGACCTAGGCTAGCAGGGTAAAAACCCAGCCCTAATTTATCAGCAAAGTGTCCTGTCATTATTTACTTTACACATTATCTCCTGCATAATTGCCTGCTGGGCTGATCCCCACTCTGCAAACCTGTTGTGCCCGGCGCTGCTGGAGGAGGCCAAAGGAAACCCTGCAGCGAGGGAATTGCCCAGCGGGCATTCGGCCGCATACCCCGCACACGGCCGGGAGAGCCTGACATGCACAAGTCCCGGAGCCGTGCCCCGTGATGTGCGTGTCCCCGGTGCCCGGCCCTGTCCCGGTGGGCCCTGTCCCCGGTGCCCGGCCCTGTCCCGGTTGCCCGGCCCCGGTTGCCCGGCCCTGTCCCGGTGGGCCCTCTCCCGGTGGGCCCCGTCCCGGTGGGCCCCGTCCCGGTGCCCGGCCCCGTCCCCAGTTGCCCGGCCCCGTCCCCAGTTGCCCGGCCCCGTCCCCAGTTGCCCGGCCCCGTTCCCGGTTGCCCGGCCCTGTCCCGGTGGGCCCTGTCCCCGGTGCCCGGCCCTGTCCCCGGTTCCCGGCCCTGTCCCGGTGGGCCCTGTCCCCGGTGGGCCCTGTCCCGGTGGGCCCTGTCCCGGCTGCCCGGCCCTGTCCCGGTGGGCCCTGTCCCGGTGGGCCCTGTCCCGGCTGCCCGGCCCTGTCCCGGTGCCCGGCCCCGTCCCCGGTTGCCCGTCCCCGTCCCGGTGGGCCCTGTCCCGGTGGGCCCTGTCCCGGTGGGCTCTGTCCCGGTGGGCCCCGTCCCCGGTGCCCGGCCCTGTCCCGGTGGGCCCTGTCCCGGTGCCCGGCCCGGCCCAGGCGCGGGAGGATGTTGCCATCCAGCGGCCGCTCCCTCCATTACAGAGCGCTCCCCTCCGGGCCCGCCTCTCCCGGGGCCATTCCCACCCGGAGCCGGCTGCTGAGCCCGGGCAGCAGCTCAGCTGCTTCTGCATCGCTCAGAAACACTCCTGATCCCAAGTGCTTTCAATCTCCAGAAAGGAGGAGATTTAAAGCATCTAAATTAAAGGTGTCTGACCTATTTATTAATAAAATCCAACCAGGTATTTTTTCCTCTCTAGCTCAGGAGCATAACATATAATTCTGATTCTACAAAGAGAAGGTATGTAGGAAAGTATTGCCCTCAAAACTGTTGTACATACTGCCTTACAAACCATAGGGGGCATTATGTTACCATGGTTTGTTCTCATTTATCAATTTAAAATTATGTTCTGCTATTGTCGTATTCATCCCGCTCTCAAAATCCCTGTCTTTACACTAATGTAAGAAATAAATGCAGAAAAATATGTTCTACGTAGTCTGCTGTTTCAAAAGTCCTTTTCAGGACATTCAAAGCATGAGATATGCATGTTTTTATCTGTAACTTCATTTAGATCCATTCACATGCTCTGAAATGTGCAAGTTAATGTGTAAAGTGTCATAACTCTGTTACTGAGTGAATGTTCAAAGTAAGGGACTAACCTCCAAAAAGAGATGAAAAAGGTCATTTAACTCTCCTGGGCTCTGCACAGCATGAAAGTATTCCTTCATTGTTTACTTGAAAGGAATTGCAACTACAGGTTGCACAAACTACCAGGTCTCTAAACAGTGCCTTCCACAAACCTTTCCCAGTCTGTGCCCCAGTTCAGCTCCCACAGCCAGTGCCAGGTGTCCACAGAGAAAAGGTAAACTTCTCATGGCTACAGGTGCTCCCAAAGCACAATTTATAACCTTTGCATGCTTGCTGCAGTAGGAAGGTTTGAGGATCCTGTAAACAGCAGAAAGAAAGGTAAATTCAAAACTGGCTCATAATTTTTGCTTACAGGAATTATCTTTCAGGCAGCAAGAAGGAAGCCTTTAAAGCATAGAAATCACTGTGATTTAGCCCAAATTTAGGTTAAAAAGGCAGATATTCATTAGCAGACTGCGTTGAATCTAAATTTATTTTAAACTTTAGTCTGACAGGAAAAGATTAATTGGAGAACAGATTCTCTTCTTGTTCCCTTTATTAAGAAATATAGAAAAAAAAGAGGCAAATTTTGTAGGTTGTTTTAACAAACAATATTTAGACCACTTTAGAATAAATACCAGCCTCTCAGGGTGAGATTTGATACCCTCTTCTATCAAGAGATCTGCCCAGTTTCTTGTTCAAAGAAAGGCTTGCCAAAACAAAAATCAGGAGCAATGGACAAAACCTAAATATTAGATTGTAAAATGGCACTGAGGCTGGGGTTTTGCAAGGGAAAAAAATGAAATATCAGCCACTATCATTAAGAATCTTCAGAAAATTTCAAGCTTTTAGTATTCATAAATTCACTGCTTATTATAGACTGTGATCCAGAGAAGAATGATAATATAATGAGAAAGGCAGGAACATTTTATGGTGAAATGTATTTTTCTGAACCACTTCTAGGAACAAACTAACAATTTGATTCTAAGGTAGTTCTCCAGAATGCAACTGTGTGATTAATTTTGAAAGAGTTGGCACTCCATCCAGTTTCTCTCCCACTCCTTTCAGCAGAGATCCCTCAGATTCAGAAAGGATGCACTGATACTTCTTGGTCTCACATCACATCTCAGCCACTAAATGCTGCCAAAAAACTTCTGCTGAAGAGAACAAAGCCAGCTGCACCTGTCTAACAGCAAACAGTGCCTGAAATCTCTAATAGAAGGTAGGTGTGGGTGCATGCTGACAGCAGTCACCATGGGTTTGGATAGCTCACAACACAGAACAGTGATGTAGCACTGAGCAGGCAGCAGAAGACAATCCCTAGTGCAGGAAGGGTGCAGCTCCAGGAGCACTGGGAAAGTGCTGCTTGTGCTGCACACAGTGGTTGAACAAGGGCAGAGTTCAGTGCTCCTGACACCTACAGAAACACTGTCCAGAGAGAGAAAGGGAGACAGGACCATCTGATTTTACAATATTAGTAGAATACTTGCCTAATTACAGAGAGCCTGTGGCAGCTGCAGGAAGAGATTTGTCCTTAGGTTTGCCATTCCTCTGAATGGAAAGTAGCAGGCGCAGCAGGGGCTCTTGGCTTCCCATATAGTGGCACACACTTCAAGCAACTACCATGCCCTGGGCCCCAGTTTCAATTCTGGGGAAAGGATATGGACTCACCTAGTGCCAGTTTTAGGGCTGTATTCTTTATTTTCAGAGATGTCATGGGACAAAGAGGAGATGAGCAAGGAGCTCAAAGTTCCTAGGACTGTTGGCTATACAGATCTGGTTTCTGGAATTTTCCCTTATGATGTATTCCCTATTGAGTGTTTTTTACATGAGATGGTAAAAGAGAGCTGTGCCATTTAAAATTCAGGACTCTAAAATACCAGCAAGTGCAAAGACAACTGTTGGTAGTTTGAAATAATAATACATGTCTACAAAAGCCTTCTTTGTTATTTTATTTATGCCTCAATTATATCACTTCTTAAAACACAATTTGGAAAGAAGGGCACAACTCAGTGCATATCCTTTCACCTCCTTCATGCATATGAGTACACAAAATTCACCTCAGGGTCAGAAATCAAATGGTTATTATGGCTTCAGAAGGAACATCACACATGCCGTGCTCTGTGGTATCTCACAATACAGTCTCTTCATCTCCTCAGTTACCATCCACTCTTTATTAATAAGCAGTGAGCTCAAACAGAACAAAGCTTTAATCCTATACTTCTTTTGAGCAGGATGGTATGCTGTCCTCACTTGTTACAGCCTTCTTTTAGTGGTATCCACGTACCATATACTTACAGTGATATTTACTTTTTTTCCATTTCCATTTAAGAGTATATTTTACCACATTTTCCCTAGTGTATTTTAATCACTCGTCGAGCAATGCTATCACAGTCTGACTGCCTTGGTCTTCCCATACTTGGTGAGCTGCCAGAGCTTCTAGCAATAACAAAAGCCAGTTGAAGCCATTCCTATTATTCTGGCTGCCACTAGGAAAAGCTGGCAGACTCTGTCACTTTTACAGCTGGGTGGCATTTATGAGGTGTGTTTCATGTTTTCACAGCACTAACTTGCATCACAGGAAAGCACAAAACTTTAATTTTAATTGGAATGATCATAGGTATCATTCTTGCCACTGTGTATTACATTAAGTTAATGAACTCTGGGCGATACACTTGAACACAACGTCGCCATCAGCCCAATTCATTACCAACCTTATACCTCATTTACATGAGTTCCTGGGTTATTTTACTGGGGATGGGGAATATGCATCCACTGTTAGCAGCTCAACTTTTTTTCTCCCACTCATGAGTTATTACTTCTGACTGACAGTCTGAGGTGACAGGGGAACCAAAGAAGCAGAAAAAGAATATACAGTACCCTAAATCAGTACTGTACATTCAGGATTGGATGCTAAATATGAAGGAGCATGCAACAAAGTTTTGCAAAGGTGTTTGTTTTGGGGTTTTTTGTTGGGTTTTTTGTTTGGTTTGTTTGTTTGTTTGTTTTTGGGGGGTGGTTGCAGGGTAGGATTTGGTTTGGTTTTGGGGTTTCTAATCCTTTTAATTGTATATTTGTCATGGCAGAGTGAGGCAGCTTTTCCTACCATTCAACAGGACTCTGCAATTGTGCTTTCTGGCAGACTCCATGCACAGGAAGGAGGGAGGGCTCCTATGTTGCAGCTTGTGGTTCTTGTTTCCCTGGCCCCCCTTCTTCTTAAAGCTCAACTTGATTTAAAAAGAAAATAATCACAGCTGGTTTAGAGTTAAAGATAGCTTGAAGGAAAATGGAGCATCTCAAAAAGAAAAAAGGAAAAACTGCAGAAAAGTCATGCTCCCTACAGCTTTGGCTGAACAATCACTTCTGTGAGTTGACTTAGGAATTCTCCCATCTCATTTTACTGTTGTGCTGTATACAGGAAGCTACTTCTGAATGAGAACACACCTGTGTGTCTTTATTTACTGTAGCTGAGGCTGTTAATGTTTTAGAGTTTGGTGTAAGGCCATTCCAGGGACAGGAGCAATGCTCTTTCTCTACCCACTGCTTTTCCTTGGAGCTGTCAAACAGTCCACCTAGAAACTCTTTGCTCTTGCATAACTTATTTCTTTACTTCATGCATTTTTCTTTGCTGTTTTCTGAAGCCAAAAAAACAACAAAGATTTTGCAGCTTTCATAATTTTTACATATGCTTGTAAAAAAGTGAGCATTGAAAAATTACAAGTGTGGAGAAACTCAAAGCTCCAAGGGCAATTTTTTCGAAAGAGCAGTTCTAGGGAAGCATGCACAAAGTATAAAAACCTCAAATTTCAAGGTCTCTTTCATCAGAAAGCCTGACTCAAGCCCATGGTGTGACAGAATTAGCAGGTAGCC